TTGTTTTATAGATTTTTAAAGATTATATGTGCAAAAACTTCCATCCATTTGGGAACATTGTCATGAACAACACGGCCATATTTTTGCACAAATTAAAGTCTTATTTAAATTGCTGTTTGTAAGAAGCCGTGTGCTTTCTTATGTAACACTCGGTCGTTCTTATTAAATAATGGCAGCAGACAAAATTTCATTGTTAAACTGTCCCGGAACAATTCCGTCGGTGATTATATCACCACGATAGTTATATGATGATCTGACTGTTACAAATTTGATGGAATGATTCCGTAACGGGATCGTAACATCTTTCAAAATATATACTTTTAAAATACATATTTGGTGGTATAAATACATATATGTCTAAAATAAATTATTAAATTATATTTTTCTCTTTTTATTGTATTTTTGTGACAAGCCTCAACATTAATTCGTGAGATAATCTAATTATTAAACAAATTAATATATTATACACTGTTTCTTCACTCACCATCAAGTAAAATAACATTTATAAAAAAATGGTAATGCTTATTTAATCGACAATTTTCATATAGCTTTCTTAAATATATAGTAATTAAGTTAACAAATTAATATTTGCAGTCAATCAAAATTGGTAAATCTAACAATGACAAACAACACAAAAGGATTAAAATGTCATTTCGTGTTGACCTTACTTAATATTTGGACTTCAAACCATATAATGAACAAATTTTTTATGACACAACACAACATATGATTATTAAACAAATTATCACGTAAATGTACCCATGATATAAATTGACTCGTATTAGCATGCTTTTTAAATACAAATGCAAATTTATATAATTTATATAATAATTTATATTAATTCAATTTAAATGCATGACTATCCCTTGAAAATGTTCCAATTGAAAAAAAAGGACAAATACTTGCATAAGCATATTTTCAATTTTTTTAAATGTCACATCATAAATAAAAATGATATTTTACAATATAAATTATATATTTCTATTAAATAAGTATTATGGAAATTTTCAAACTAAATATTACACCATAAACACCATTATTACTCTAACATATAATACTACAAATATATATATTTTTTGAAAAATAAAAAATGAAAAAAAAATAACAAACTCGAGCTATGAATATCTCTCTAGTCCAAAAAAAATAGTCCAAAAAATTAGTTAAGGGGAAAAAAATAGTCAAAATTAACACATTAATAATAATTAAATGTTAAAAAAAAAAATTAAAATAAGCTTTTTTATTCACGGACGGGATTTTGGTTGCAGGAAACTCCGGTTGGGCTCCGACGACGACGACGAGGCCAGATAATCGTCGCCGCTCTTCATAATCCCTTCTCCAGAAACACTTTCGTCGTTGACTCCATTTTCTCTGCCGGCCCCATCGGCGGAGCAAGAAACCGCCACCCTCCTCCAGTTCCGCCATATCCTCAGCATTAGGTACACGAGACACAAGCAAATCAAGGTCGCCGTGAGAACGATCGCCACCACGATCGCGGATACCTGAGACTCGGAAAGGTACTTCCTCGTGCGCCCCAGTTTTTTCCCGCACTGAATCAGCGGCGGCCCGCATAGTTCGTCGTTGCCCTGGAACGAGGTCGCCGGGAATTTCGAGAAAGCCGACGGGATCTGGCCGTCTAGGAGATTGTACGAGACATTGATCTTATTGAGGCTGGATAATCGCCCTAGAGAGGCCGGGATTTCGCCGTGGAGTTGATTGTGGGAGAGGTTCAGTCGTTCGAGCTTCACGAGGTTTCCGATCGACGAAGGGATTTCGCCGGATATTTTGTTGGAGCTCAGGTCTAGAGTGACTTGTAGCTCGCTGAGCGTGCCGATTTCGGGTGGGATAGGGCCGGTGAGGTTGTTTTCCGAGAGCCTGAGCTCGAAAAGCTTTTGGCAGTGTTGAATTGTGTTTGGGATTGTGCCTGATAGGCTGTTTTTGTGGAGGTCTAAGACGTTTAGGAGGCTGAGGTTGCCGATTTCCTGTGGCACCGGACCGGATAGCCTGTTGCTGTGAAGGGAAAGTGTGAGCAAGCTCGAACATTTTCCGATTTCCGACGGTATTCTTGCAGTGAATTCGTTCGATGAAAGGTCTAGCTCACCTAGCTGCTCTATATCCCCTAACCAAGTGGGAATATTTCCATACAATCGGTTGTTGTTGAGCAGAAGGTGCCGGAGTTTCGTCAGGCCTGAAAGCCCCGATTCCAGCTCGCCCGTCAGGTTATTGTAAGACAAATCAAGAAACTGAAGCTCCGTAAGGTTGCTAAATCCGGGAGGAATGCTGCCATTGAAGGCATTATGGGCAAGGCGTATGCGTGTCAGGTTACTGGACAGAGCTAGTCGAGATGGAATGGTGTTTGAGAAACTATTGTTGGTTAAGTCCAAAAGGGTTAGAGAATTCGAGCCGGTTAATGGGAAAATGCTACCGCTAAGCCGGTTGAGCGATAAATTGATAGTGCTGAGGTTTTTGAGATGGAAGAAAGATTCTGGGACCGTACCTGATAACGAGTTGTTGTAGAGAGCCAAAAGCAAAAGTCCGGTAAGAAACCCGAATGAGGTTGGTATGGGGCCCGAAAGATTGTTGTCTGACAAGCCAAGTATCTGAAGCTGTCTGCATTTTCCTAAGCTTGCTGGAATCGGACCCTCGAGCTTGTTTTGCCTTAGGTCAATATATTCAAGATTCTCGAGTTTCCCCATTCTCGGAGGAATGAACCCCGAAAATTGATTGTAAGATAGATCAACTGCTTGCAGGCTCGAGCAGTTCGTTAACTCACGAGGTATACTGCCTGACATTTGATTGTCGTCGAGGTCTAAAATGCTTAGCTGCTTTAGCTTCCCGATTTCCACTGGGATTGGGCCCGTGATCATGTTGTCAGAGAGGTCTAAAGTCCTTATACTGCTCAAATTACCAATTTTGTTGGGTACTTTTCCAGTAATTCTGTTGTTACTGAGCATAAGATCTGTTAATCTCTCGAGCTTATCAATGTCCTCTGGCAAAGGCCCATCGATGTTATTTCCGGAGAGGTCTAATTGCTCGAGTGACGAGCAATTTAGTATCTCAACCGGAAATTTTCCAGATAAATTGTTTCCGGCCAGGAGAAGCTGGGTCAGGTTTGGATTATTGGTGCAGAGATTTTCTGGGAGCCCACCTGAGAAAAAGTTGCCTGATAAAACCAAACATTGAAGATTTGTGAAGTAGTGGAAAATGCTTATGGGCCCAGAAAGTTTATTTCTTGATAAGTCCAAAGTGGACAACAGAGACAGATTGTTGAGTTCCATAGGAATTTCGCCTCTCAACCCATTTCCTTGAAGATTCAAATATGTCAAGTTCGACAAACGGCCCAACTCGACAGGGATCGGCCCGGAAAGACTGTTGTTGCCCAAATTCAATATCTGCAACGATTCGAGCCCGCCGATTGAGCCTGGGATTGCCCCCATAATCATGTTATTTGCTGCGTTGAGTTTCTCAAGCTCTCTGCATTCGCCAATCTCTTTCGGTAAGTGCCCACCGATATTATTATGCTGAATGTCCAAAAGTTGGAGATTCGTCAAATATCCAAACTCTTTCGGAATGCTACCATAAAACT